TTTATAATTATATATAATTACTATAAATTATTATATTTCTTTATTTACCATCCTTCATCAAGTTTTCCTGCTCTCCCAATAGCGCCTGCAGATCTTTGTCCTGTGCCATCTTCTCCACGGTCTGGTCATCGTCCTCATCCATGTTGTCCTCAAAATCGTCGGCGTATTCAACTGTATCTATGTTCTGGATGTCGACATCATTGTTCTCTGTTCCATCCGTGTGCTGGGTGTCCATTTAATCATTTTCAGCTCCCTCCATGTGCTGGGTCTCCACAACTTCGTTGGCGTCTACAGTTTCCTCCTGAATGTCCTCGAATCCTATAATGTCCTCTTCCGGGCTGTCCATTCGCCGGCGTCGATTTGGTGGGAATTCCTCATTTTCTTCATGAAGAGGGGCTTGTCGTGGTTTCCTATTGTAACGCCATTTTCTGGTTTTAAGGCTTTTCAGAGCCTTCTCCAAAGCTTCGTGGAATTCGACGTTGTTGGGGTTGGAAAAATGTTTATTGGCGTTTATGGCATCTGGAAAAAAAAATTCAGAGAAATACCTTAGTTATCATCATATATTTAATGTAGAATATGAACAATGACGGATGGTATTTTTTACGAACCTTGACATGCTTGAGCGAACCGACTGTCTCGCAATTTGCATCCCCCAGGTCCAGTTTTTCCATTTAAAGTCAGGTGTGATGAAATCTCCTCATCTTCGGGAAATACGCTGCAAAAATATTCTGCAGCGCAATCAATTGGATTGGCCCGTCCAAAGTAAACAAAGTATCCCATTTGTAACAAAATGTTTGTAGTAAATTGAATTAGTGTAAATATATATCTAGAAAAAATTATAAAAAAAATTATATTACCAAATCATTATAAATTTCTTCGTCAACTTCTTCGAAGGCCAAGAAATCGTCCACGGTTCTGAACGAAATCCCTTGTGGCTTAACTGGCCTCCTCACTGCAGACTCTCGCAATCATCGTTTAATAGACGTTGTATTTTCACTGCAGGAAAAAATGAAATTATAAGATTAAAAATTCATTTATAGTAAGTTGCTTGCTGTTCCTTAATAAAATCATTAATATTTACTCAATTTTCTTTTCAATAAAAATTTGTCGCTCTTCCATACGACATAATTGCGCCGTGATCATTCTGAAATGAAAATGATGTCTTTATTCATGCACATGGACGATTATTTTTGTTATAATTATTTTTTAAACTTACTTTAGAGGTTGCAATATATCACGGGATGTTCCCTCGTTTTTTGTGCACTCTTGTTCATGTCCTTGTCTGGCTGGTAATAGACGATTGCGTTGTACAGGTAATGGTGGTGGTCGTGATAATATCATATTTGTTTATGTTGTGATAGTAGCTTTGATGGTGGATGAATGTTTAGTGTGAATGAATTTGTGGCTGGTGAAGGA